GAAAGGGGAGTGGGGGATGCGGGAAGAGACTGGACAAAAATCATGCACCTATGGATGAGGACAGTGGATGGGGAGTGAGGGAGGAGGGTGGGGTGGGAACTGGGTGGAGGGGAGTTATGGGGGGAAAAAAGAGGAACAAATGTAATAATCTGAACAATAAAGATTTAATTAAAAAAAAAGAATTTAAAAAAATATATTTTTAAAAAATAGAATATCTCAAAAAAATAAAAATAAAAAGGTTAAACACTAAGTACCCTGTGACCCAGTAATTTCTCTCCCAAAAGAAATTAAAACCTATGTCCATGTAAAAAACGTATACACAAGTGTTTGTAGTAGATTTATTCGTAATAGCCAAAAAGTGGAAACAATCCAAATGTCCATTACCTTGTGAAAGGATAAACAAATGTGGTCTATCCACACAATGGAATCTTACGGCCGCAAAAAAGAATGAGGTTCTCATAGGTGTTACGACCTGGATAACCCTTGAAAACATGATGCTCCGTGAAAGAAGCCAGGCACAAAAGGCCACATGCCGCGTGATTCCATTATCGGAAATGTCCAGGACAGGCAAATCTACAGAGACAGGAAGTAGATCAGTGTTTGCCAGGGGCTAACAGGCTTCTTTTGGGGACGATGGAAATTCTCTGAAATTAGATTGTGCTAATAGTTGCACAATCTTGTGAACATACTACAAACAACTGGCTGCACCTTCAAAAGGGTGCATTTTGTGGTATGTGATTTATATCTCAATAAAGCTGTTACAAAAAAGAAAGAGGAAATAGCGCACATCTTCATTTTCTCTGAATTAACTGAATTCCAACTCCAAGCCCCATCCTGCCATCCTAATGTTGTAATGTACCCCGCGAGTAACACACAGGACGCAAAATCAAATCAAGGAGTCATTTAATCAGTAAAGCCGGCGACTGCGAGGGAGATGCGGCTCCAAATCTCGCAGTGCCCGAGTGAGGGCAGGAGCCATCTTATAAAGGCAAAAACCACATCCTGCTAGACGTTGGAATGTGGAATTATCTTGCGAAAGCAGTTTTACAGAAGCAGAATTGAGCAAAGTTAATAATCTTTAAAGGTTATCTATAGTTTCAGTTCCTGGAGCCACTGAATCACCAGAAAGTATTCCCAGAGCCACTGAGTTAAGGAAAGCAGTTTTGTGGTTCTGGTCCTCAGACACAGGAGAATAGCCTTTGTGATGTGGGCTGGCAACATAATGGGGTGATTTATGTGAGTTTCCAGGTCTCAATCTGGAAACTGAGGTAACTACCTTACTGTTTAAGCAAGCAGGTGTACAGAAGCCAGAACAGCAGGGTTAAAATTCAAACTGCAGTTTTTACCCGAGATGAACGTTACTATGCTTCATTGCTTCACTTAGGGTGCAGTCACTGTCAGTCCCCTGGAACCTGCGAAGCACCTGCATCATCCATGGACACCAGACCTCAACTCCCGTTTTGGGGGCCCTGCCAGTGCTTTCGCTTGGACTAGAGAAAGGCAACAGCTGCCTTCCCAGTTGCGGGCGCACCCTGATTTCAGCCCCACACGGTCATGACCAGTTGCCTTTGTGCCCTGCACAAACTGCACATCCATACATGGAGGCCCTGCTTCCCACCTGGCACCCAATTTCTCTACACATCCCCTCTCCCCCTCCCCACCGGAGCAAGGAACAGGATCCCCGTGAAAGATTCAAAGCGCCCGACCTTCACCAGCTCTGCATTCTGTCCTGAGGCAGGCAAAGACGACAGCCTGGCCACAGCCTGAACAGAGCTAGACAGAGCACAGGGAGCACCTTCTCAAATTAATGTCTCAGAACATTGATCCAGGGTTTAGTTGCTACCGGCAGGCGCATAAGAAGTGTACAACAAATCGTTACTATTATTAGCATCAACTTACAAATTAATTCTAGCGATAAAGACAAACCCATATACAGCACTTTGGAGTTTGAATCTCTACTTCCAGTCAAGAGCAAGTAAACAACTAGAACTGAGTACAGGGTTTAGCAAACATTTTTGTGACAGGCCAGATGATGGTAAATACGGATCTTATGCTGTGTGGGCCAAGCCGGCTCCCACAATTACTCAACTCCGCTGTGGTAGCGTGAAAGCCACATAGACAAGAGTAACTGAATGGACAGGGCTATGTGAAACTTCACAGAGGGAAACAGGAGGTGGGCCGGGTTGCCTGTGAGCCAGATGTGGCCAACCCTGGTTTACCAAGTTATCATGTTGAATGTCATCACTGTTCCTGTTTCATAGGTAAGAGACTGGCGTCAGCAAGATTTTAGTAACGTGGCTATCAGTAACCATAGTTTCCAAGGGTTACTCTGCTAACCCTTAATAATGCTAAGCACTTCCCAAACATTCACAAAGCTCTAAGTCAGTACTATTAAGACTCTCACTCTACAGATATGGAAACTGAGGCACTGATTCGACTTTACATCTTCTAACTCATTAATATCTTGTGCTCCTTCTACCACTTTCCCCACAAAAGACAGCCCCACCCCTCACCTCGGGATCTTTACTCTCCACATGCCTGGCAAGGCCAACCTTCTGGTCTTGTCCCCTCCCCAAAGGACCGGATCCCCTTTGCTGTGGTCGGGGCTGACCGAGAGCACGTGGTGAACGGGAGGTGTGTGTTGGGCCGGAAGACAAAGTGGGGCATCATTGAAGGTCAGTACAGGTGCTTGGGGAGGACACCGGTGAGAATGGGTTGGAAACCAGGACACACCCTCTTGCCTTTGGGACCCTCAGCGCCTATCACAGGGCCCTAGTGATTAAACCCACAACCAGGGAAGAGACAGACCTGGGATCAAGCCCCTTTACAGCTGGGAGGCCTCAGGCAAATTACTGACACTCTGGACTTCAGTTTCCTTTTTAAAAAAAATCCTTATTTATTTTTCCATTGATATTTAGAGAGAGTAAAAGGGAGGGAAGAGACAGAGAGAGAGAAACATGGATGTGAGAGCGACACATGGATTGGTTGCCTCCCACACACACCTCGAACAAGGCCAGGGATTGAGCCTGCAACCAAGGTACGTGCCCTTGACCAGAATCGAACCCGTGACCCTTCAGTCCGGAGATCAACACTCTATCCACTGAGCCAAACCGGCTAGGGCTGGACCTCAGTTTCTTCACAGAAAAATGAGCATGATAGTAACATAAATTTCATATGGTAGTTGGAGGGGGCAGAGCCACCACTTTGGACAGTGTTCGGCACCCAGAATTTATTGAAGGCCTACTATGTGCCAGGCATACTATGTGCTATTCCTAAGAGGGAGACAGGGAAAATAGGACCGACAGGGTTCCTGTCCCCATAGAGCTGGCAAGATGACGACAGGTGGGAGAAGCATGATGAAGGAAATACGTGGGGTGGGAGAGGTGGGCTACCTCAGGGAGCAGAGAAGGATAAAGATAAGACTATCAGGTAAAGGAACAGCAGTCAGAGCCTGAGTCCTGATGTAGCAATATAATTATTAAAAGTAAAATATAATATGTATTATTCTTATGTATATACTATATTATCTTATGTATATTATACTATATATAAAATAATGTACATACATTATATTAAATGTATATTTATATACATTATATACAATATGTTAAATATATACTATATGTATACATCATATTATACCATATATATACACCATAGTATACATTATATTGTATATACAATATAATATATAAGATAAGCGATCAGTGGATTGACTGATCTAACAACTATTTGTAGGAGCCACCTGTACCAGCCACTGGGGTCACAGCAATGAATGAATGAATGAATCAATCAATCAATCAATCAAGAATGGGAGGTGGGCCCTGGCTGGTGTAGCTTAGTGGTTAGAGCACCGGCCCACAAACTGAAGGGTCTCAGGTTCGATTTCCAGTCAAGGGCACATACCTGGATTGCTGGTTCGATCCCTGCCCTGGTCAGGGTGAGCACAGGAGGCAACCAATCGATGTGTGTCTCTCACATCGATGTTTCCTTCTTTCTCTCTCTCTGTCTCCCTCCCTCCCTTCCTTCCACTCTCTAAAAATCAAAGGAAAAAAATATCCTCAGGTGAGGATTAACAACAAAAAAGGAATGGGAGGTGGGATAAGACAGTAAGAAATGTGGGGGAAAGATGGTGGTGGGTACAGGTGGCATACAGTAGGCGCTTACTTGGTGCTAAGTATCCTATCTTGCAGTGGAGAACATGGAGCACTGTGAGTTTCCCCTCCTGAGAGACCTGCTCATCCGGTGAGGGTGCAGGGAGCCCAGGGGCAGTGGTGGGCAGGGGGTGGCAGTGGCCAGCTCAGGCTGACCTGCCATCCCTCTCCCAGTTCCCACCTCCAAGACCTGAAGGACATCACCCACAATGTCTACTACGAGAACTACCGTGTCTGCAGACTCAACGAAAGCCACATGCTGCCCCAGGGGCCCGGCTGGGTGAACCTGGACCCGACCCCTGCCAGTCCCCCGGCCATCCCTGGGCCCTCAAAGATGTGCCGATGGACCCAGGACAATCCCTCCGAGGAGTACTGAACACAGCACACCCCGGGCCACTTGGGCTTCCCAAGTGCTCAGCAGCCCCCCCACACACACACCTGTGTACTAGGACATGTATTAAAGGTGGACATTGCTTTTTATGACAAGCTGTGCTTTGAAAACAAAAGGAGTTTTGTAAATGACTTCTTTGAGCTACCCTCAAAAAAAGATGGGTTCTTTTTTAAGTAACAGCATGACACCCAGGCCCCGGGGCGTCATGAAGCCCTGGTGGGGTGTGCCTTGGTGATGGACCCCCTTCTGCCCCAGAACTAGAGTCGAGTTCCAAATCAGACTCTGCCCTCCATCCTGACCCTCCCTCCAGCCCAGGGCCGGGCCCATGGTGTCATAACACTCCCATCTTTGACCATCTTCCCCTAACACTGTGCCCCTGCCCCTGCCTTCCTACCCTGCCGACCAGCACAGTGAGAAACAGCTCCAACTCTGGAGTCTGGCAAAGCTGATGGAAATTCCTGTGCCACGTGATCTTCAGCAAGTCACTTGCTCTTCCTGGGCCTCAGTTTAATCTATAAAATGGAATGGTAGCATCGCTCTCATAGTGTTGTGCGAACAAATTGAGTAATTTGTGTAATGAGCCTGCCAAGGCCTGCAGAAGGCTCTCAGACAGAGGTGAGGGGCACAGGAGAGAGCTTGGTTGGGGTGGAGGATGTGCCTGCAGAATGTGTGAGCACTTCCCAGGACTTTCCAGAAACCTGGAAAATAAAGGGACTTCAGCCAGCTGGGCTGGGCTCAGTGGTTGAGCATTGACCTAGGAACCAGGAGGTCACAGTTTGATTCCTGGTCAGGGCACATGCCCGGGTTTCCGGCTCGATCCCCAGTGTGGAGCATGCAGGAGGCAGCTGATCAATGATTCTCTCTCATCATTGATGTTTCTATCTCTCTCTCCCTCTCCCTTCCTCTCTGAAATCAATAAAAATGTATTTAAAAAAGTAAAATAAAGAGAAAATAAAAGGACTCCATAGAAGCCTACCTGGTTGGGGCCTGAAGCTCGGTTAGTTTAGTTAACCAGAGGATAAGTGACTCCTATAATCCAAAACCCAAGCGACTGGAGGGAGAGAGCATGTGGTGAGCTCCCAGTAAGTGACAATGGGTATATTGGGTCCTTCAGAAAACAGATCCAACAGGACATGTACTAGTATATGGAGATATACATTATGGGAATTGGCTTACACAGTTACGGAGGTAAGAAGTCTTAACGATCTGCCATCTGAAGCAGGAGACCCAGAAAACCAGTGGTGTTGTTCCGTTGGAGTGGGAAAGCCTAAGAATCAGGAACCAATGGTGTAGGTGCCAGCCGGAACCCAAACACCCGAGACCCAGGCTTTCTGATGTCCAAGGGCAGAAGATGGATGTCTCAGCTCTAGCAGAGAGAGCAAATTCCCTCTTCCTTCGCCTTTCTGTTCTGTTCAAGCCCTTAATGGACTGACTGGATGATGCCCACCCGCATTGGGAGGGTGATCACCTAGAAGACGCAGTCAACTGAATCAGATGCCAATCTCTTCCAGAAACAATTCTCACGGACACACCCAGAAATAATGTTTACCAGCCATCTGGGCGTCCTTTAGCCCAGGCAAGTTAACGCAAAATTAACCATCACACCAGCTAAAAGGTGTTTTTTTTAAACTGAATTTATTGGGGTGACATTGGTTAATAAAATTATATAGGCTTCAAGTGACACCAGCTAAAAGTTACCTTCTCCATGAATCCCTCCTTGACTTCCCAGGTCAACGTACTGGCTGCCCGCTCCCTGCATACATCACAGGGTTTGTTTTCTGGTCAATCTCCCCGTTAGATTGGGAGCTCTGTGAGGGCAGGGATATGTCAGCTTCATTCTGCACCTGACAGGTGCTCAAGATCCAGCTGTTACATAAATGAACCCTTCAGTACCTGCCTCCATAATCTACCCGTCGATTCACAACGCAGTTGACTCCAGGTTTGAGGGGACCCACACCATCCACGCCAACATCTCAGAGTTGGTGTGTTGCTACATAGGGACTGCGCACATTTCCAAAGTTAATATTAGCCCTAGGCAACTTGGCAACGTCTACATTTTAAAGCAAATGCCCTTTGGCTCAGCAAAAGTATTTCTAGGAACGGATCTTATAGACAGACCAGGGTTTCTCAACCTCACTATTGACATTTGGAGATGGATCATTCTTTGCTATCAGGGCTGTTCTATGTATTGTAGGATGTTTAGACTAGAGCATTTCTGGACCTCCATGCAGGAGATGCCCATAGCACTACCCACCCAATTGTGACGATCAAAAATGTCTCTAGACATTGCCTGATGTCCCCTGAGGGATAAAATCTCCTCGGCTGAGAACTGCAGAGAATGGTACCTAGGATAGTAAAGACGAGAAGTAGTCTACCTGTCCACCAGGAGTGGACTTGAAAGTAAGTCATAGGACATCCATACCCTGTGTATTATTTCCCTGTGGATGCTGTAACAAATTAGCACAAACAGGGAGGCTGAAATGACACAGTTAATTCTGTCATAGTTCTGGAGATCAGAAATCTGAAATTAGTATCACTGGGTCCAGATCAAGGTGTCAGCAGGGTAGTGCTGCCTCTGGAGGCTGTAGGGGAGAATCCATTGACCAGTGTTTGCCTTTACAAGCTTCCAGAAGCAGCCTGCATTCCTTGGCTCATGGCCCCTTCCTCCACCTTGCTTCAGTTGTCACATTGCCTTCTGCAGCCAGATGTCCCTCTGCCTTCCTCTTATAAGGACCATTGTGATTACATTGGACACGCTGGGATTATCCAAGATAATCGAAATCCTCAATCACATCTGCAAAGTTTCTTGTCATACAAGATAACATATTTATAGGTTCTGAAGCAGGAATTGGATGCTGTGGGGGGCTATTCTTCAGCCCACCACACCATGGGATATAACATGGTCCTTAAAAAGAATGAAGTAAGGCAAACACGGCATGACCTCACTTATATGTGGAATCAAAGAGTTGAGCTCATAGAAACAAAGTAGGGTGGTGGTTGCCAGGGGCT